TTGCTTTACTCCAAAAGAGTTCATTAAGTCTGTAAACGCAAGTCTTAACGCATCATTTATATTATCAACATGAATGTTAAAGTCTCCGACAATTGGGGCTTTATCAACAGTAACCAATAGCTCTGAGAGGAAATCTGCAAATTCTTTTAGGAAATCTTTATACGGCCCTGGCGGTCTATAAACAGTAGCCAGAGCAAGAGATAGGAGAGATTTCTTTTGCACATCTGACAATGTAACGTTAAGTAGAAGTATTTCGAATGAGTTAAACCTTTATCCTGTTTTCTGAGTAACATTGAGAATATCACTATATATTGTTGCAACACCGCCGCCACGACCAGTCTGACGGTGCTCATGCTTATAACAGTAGCTTGGTGGAGTAGACTCATTTAGACCAATATAGTGATATAAGATAAGATAAGATTAGCGGCAACCGCGCTAGCGATGCTAACGGTCTATAAGCTAGTAGCGGACTCGGCAAATCAAAATAAAACTAGTGATAACAAGGTGCTCCGATTGTTTTTGTTGTAGAATACAATGGGGGATATATTCACACGTTATAGAAACGAAAATTATGGTGTATAAAATTGATTTTAAAATGGAAAAATGGACGATAAAGAATTAACTTGACGGAGCTTCAACTCAAAACACGTGGCAGCAACCTTTACATATAGTAATAGTAAAGTAATAGTAATAATACAGTAAGTGGTGAAAACTCAGTGTCACATTTCTACAGTCTGCTGTGGGTGTTGCTGCATAGTTGCTAGGTGGTTACTTACTGTTTAAGTAAGAAAGTAATATCTTTAATATGGCTCTGTGAAAAATCTATCATAATTTTTTATACTATGGTATTTATTTATTTATTTTGCCCATTTTATTGTCCTACAGGCAAAGTCAATGAGCCTAATCATTTAAAAAAGTAAAAATAAATTGAATATACTGTTTAAATAAAGAAAATAAATCATATATAAGTTTCAAAGTTGAACTGTAGGATATTGTTAGATGTTTTTGGAAGAAATCTCTTATGCTGATCAATGCTGCATTCAATCGAAAATATGAACTATTTTAATATATTTTCAAATGCATTTTATTCCTGTGATGCAAAGCTGAATTATTAGCTGGAAACCATGATAGAAAGTTCAAAAGAACAGCATTTATTTGAAATAGAAATCTTTTGTAACATTATATATGCTTCACTATCACTTTTGATCACTTGAACGTGTCCTTGCTGAATAAAAGTATAATTTTCTTACATAGAAATATCATACTGACCTCAACATTTTGAATGGTGGTGTATTTAAACAAACTCCTTACAGATTACTTTTTCAATTCTGTAGCCAAGGACAAAAAGCTTGACATAGCGAAGCATGTTTTATACACTGCAACAATGCCTGTGCTAATGTTTATTATAATACTTTGCTAATAATTCTAATGACTTTCATTTCGTTTACCTTGACAGCACTTTCTACATATACACACATTTGTTCAGAGGTTTTTTATATCACATTTATTTTCCTCCATATACCCACACGAGAGCCATTCACATATGACATTTGAAAGTAATTTACAATATCATTGTTTAGTCACCTGTGCTTTATTGTGACTTGTCAGGTAATTATTGTTAATGGCAAACACCATAGTAGGTGATCATAATGTAACAGTGCATGCCGATAATTGAGCTTTAATGTGATTTTAGCTCTAATCATCTGAATGCACATAATGCGATGGCCACAAAGAGTTCATGCTCAAATGAAAGAAGCCATTATGGAACGGAACAAGGCCGAAATGAGAAAATTACCTTGGTAAGGAGAATAGTTACTTGGCATACATCTTTCTCTCTCTTTCACTCAATATATGACATGAACTACAGTATGCTTAATAATAGTCCAATACATGCATTTGTTTTATCATTTAAAACCTGTTTTTTGCACCTACAAGCAATACAGGAGAACATTGTGTTAGAAACAGAAGATATGAATGTGCAGATGTGCAATATATTAGAAAAAGTTTTAGACGTGGCAGAGATTTTGTATAGAGGATTTTGTATAAATACATTATTGGCCTTTATGAATCATGTCTAGCTAAATATTATCAGAAAAATTAAAGCACTGCACATGGATATTGGTTACCCATGCAGATATAAATCAGAAATGTATTATAGTATTTATTTATTTATAACTTACCACATTTACACAATTAAAGATGTGTTACTGTTACTGTTTGGTACAAAAAAATGCACATTTCACCTTTAAGGAAGGACATACCAAAATCTAGTTCAGTATTCATATTGTTTTTCCATATGGTTTTTCAGTCATGTTTTTATATTCCCTTCATCCTAAGGTGTATGTAGAACTGAACGTATCCCATAGGACCTCACAGTAAAATCTGCCAATGGTTCAGTATAATTTATTTATGAACTGTACTCTTCTTTTTATCAACTCATAACTGTCAGAACTCATCATCCTGAAGATTTAAAACTACAAAATCTAAACGTTTATCCATAATCTTCATAACAGTCTCCTATATGAGGTCACCTAAAATGTGCAGTTGACCTTTCGTTTCTAGAGCAGGAGCTCTTCGATATTTCTCTGGGTTGGATGAGGCAGACGTGTCGTTTTAACAACATAATACACCCACTGGGCCGCCACTTTGGGATTCGCTCCATGCTGCTGAGACAAAAACACATGAATAATTAATTATGAAAAAATTGATAATGATAGAGGGAAGGGGAAAGGCAGAGGGTGGGGCAGTAAATTGAGAGACCTTAGAGTCTCTAGTGTATACTTCTCTATCGCACACTCTGTTTTCTCTTTTAGTGTTTGTATGTTGGCACGAGTCATAAACACATTTTTTTGCACCATTAATTTGCCTAGTCCAAATATCATGACATGTAATATTCAAATATCATGACTTTGTGCACAAAATTTTGTTTTAGAACTAAAGCTTTTAGGAGCATATATTTGATTAGATTTTAATATATTTTTTTGCAGTCTGTGTCTAAAGATCCAGCTTAACATGTTATGCTTTTCATTGGATATTGGCTTTAATTGTTGGCTTATACCGTCTAGACCATGTATTGTTAAAAAAGTGTAAATATCGGTAAAAAAAGAATGGTTCACCCAAAAATGAAAACTCTGTCATCATTTACTCATATCGTTCAAAACCTTTATGACTTTTTTCTTCTGTGGAATGTAAAAGAAGGTATTTTGAAGAATGTTAGCAACCAAACAGGTTCAGTTCCCATTGACTTCCATTGTATTTTTGTCCATACATTGGAAGTCAGTGGGAACCAAAACTATTTGCCGTTCAGTCAGATTCAAATGATGTTTTGTGTGCTGGTTGTAACCTGTTCAGATTCATTGAGCAGTCTCAGCATCTCTCTGCTAGTTACTTTTTGTGCCTTTTAAAAAGACCCTCCTGAGGCTACGATTGTGGCATAATTGTTTTCTTCATTATACATTGTCGCCGCTAATACTTTCAACTTTTTCCTTCTGGCGCTAAAGTTGCTAACACATCATGCAAAATTACTTGTATTTCGCCTTGTCGAAAGCGTAGATGTTTGGTGTGGATTATAAATTTTTTAGCCCCAGAATTACTTTAAGTGTATAATGAATTTTCAAGGCGATTAAGATGCAAATAGCCACATTAATAATTTGTCGAGTAATATTCCATCCCTCTATGCATCTGAATGATGCTTTAGCCGGTTAAAGGAGGCCATATGAAAAAAATCTCTGTCATTTGCTTCCCCCATTCCTCTAGTTAATGAACTCATTAACATCAATACACTACTTCCCAGTCTTATTCTAATAAAAGAGTTTGCAAGGACGGGCTGTCTGCATCTCAGTATATTGTCATGCATAACTGAAGTCTGCAGTGAGCTGGGATTGAATGGCGCTCAGATAGCTCACTAGTCGAGGTCTTAGCCAAGCTTTCAGGGGTTTGGTCTTGATTGAGAGGTATTAGTGCACAGTAAACAAAGCTGTGCTTTTTTGAGAGCAACATGATATCCTAGACTGCAAATATTTGTGTTTTCTTTGTCATTTTCTGAGCGCTTCTACAGATTATGTAGTATCTGTGTGGTGTTGTTGGCTAGTTCCCATCAAATTTTATTCACGTCTGTTTGCTTTGAGCTCATCTTTATGCTAGCATACTCCTAAAAGTTATATGAAATTAAGTATTTACATTTAAAATCAATCAAACCAATTCAAAAATGTGTTTTCTGTATTACAATTTGAAAGAACTGTTTTCTATTGTAATATTAACATATTAAAATGATTACTGAAGGATCATGTGATGCTAAAGACTTCTGAAAATTCAGCTTTTACATCACAGTAATAAATTACATTGTTAAATATGGTTATTTTGTAGCAAAAAAAAGACTTCTTTCAACTGAAAGGGTTCACTTATATATTGGATGGGGGAGGGGGGAGATGGCCATTACATTTTTAATACATTTAAAATGTATATTTACACTTTTATGTATTTTTTTATGCAGGCTGAGTTTGTCATTTAAATATTGATAATATTAGTAGCAGTAGGAAAAATTTAGAAGAATCCAATTTAATCTTTAGATGGTCTGAAATAGATATGCACTATTCATTATAGCAGTTCAACCTGCCTAGGTTGTAAATTATTGAATAAAAGCGCACAGTCTTTTAGTGTTTCCATTTTTGCCCGAGACTTTTACATTGATAGATTGTAATATTCGTGGGAGATTGTGAATCCAAAAGTTGCTGAAATTAATTATGCCATTTCTGGGTAAACTGTAAATTAAACATGCTGCTCAGTGGAAACTATATGCTACAGAACAAATACTTTTTTCGTAAAATGACCTGGACTGGAAGAGTCCATTACGTTCCATTACTTTTATGCCATAAATATAGGAAAGTGCAACCCAGAGTTTTCTGCCTTGCTTGCCTTGTTTGGTGTGAAAGCAGCAGCCTACCAGCTGGCGATTGGACATTGTGATGGTTACTCAAGGATCATGAATTGTTCCTCCACAGATGGCAGCCACAGTGAGATGTCCCAGCCCTCAATGACCATCCAGACGTATCCATATGGAGGCTGTGAGTCAGTGGAAATGTCCTACCAGGCCGGCCAGTTCCAACCGGCCATCAGAGTGGCAGACTTGCTCCAGCACATCACTCAGATGAAGTGTGGGCAGGGTTACGGCTTTAAAGAGGAGTACGAGGTAAGAAGTCTTGAGCTTGAGTGACTGACATCAATAAGAATGAAACTTTCAATATGGCAAGGCAAGTTTATTTATATAAGCACATTTCATACACAATGGTAATTCAAAGTGCTTTACATAAAAATGACTTGACCCTAAAGAGTGTAGATAAAAGAATATTGAAGTTGATTTGTTTGCTGCATTTAATAAATGGAGCCGTCTTTACTGTAGCTCTCAATATCAATTGCTTACTTTTTAGTGTACTAAATTTGTAAAAGTATGTTAGATCAAGCCTCTCTGCAGTAATTACGACAGCCGTGCAGCAATGAAATTTGTTTTTGCCTCTGTATGCACAGTAAGCCGAAAAATGATGTGAACTGAATCTTAAAACTGTTTTATTGAGGGGGTTATTAAAATGTCAGGCATCTTTTTTTATCATTCAATAATGACTGTTTTTTTTTTGCTAGTTTCCTGTCTTTTTTCACATTATTTTATTTCTTAAACACATTTGAATAACTAATTAAAGTGCGTCTGTGCTTATTAAAAGAAGCATCTCGATAACATGCTGGCATTTTGTTCAGAAAAGGTCACGTGAGACACGATGCGCTACTTGAAAAATCTGCCCACACAGTGGGCCACAGAAGGTCAACACCCCCGTGACAATAAAACCAATTATCTTTCCCTGTCTAAACCTTCATTGGTAAGAATATGCAAAGACCTTTGTGTCAATAGCATGTCTTATTCTAGATTTTAAAAAAGCATGCTAACCTCGGGTTTGAAGGCTCACTTATCTCTGCCGTCCCCATATACGATCCGCTCGCTTTAATAATACAAATAAAGAACTCCTTTTTGCTTGTTCACGAAGGTCAGCAACATAGAAATTACATCCGTTGACGTTTTTTCTGTGCATGCATCTTATTGTTCTCTGTTTTTAAGGTACAGGTGTTGTAGTGGGGTGAAGTGTTTTATGATTGAGAAATCCCACACTGGCATCGTTGTGGCTCTGTTATTTTGTTTGAATAGCGCTAGAGGAAAGATGCTGCCAACAAAAGAGAGATATGAAATTAACTTTTGATAAGGGCATTTATTTTTCCTCTAAATGTATTTCCTACACATTTTGGCTTTGAAGTAGCTGCCTTGAATGAGTTCCAGCTTCACTTTGTGATTTGTTTTCATTAAAGGGATCATTCACCCTCCAAAAATGACAATTCTGTCATCATTTACTCACCCTTATGTCATTCCAAACCCTTTCTTTGTTCTGTGCAACACAAGTTTGACATTTTTTAAAGAATGTGCTAGCTGCACTTGTCCTTGCGATTAAAATTAATGTGGACTGGAACTTTTAAGGGGAAAAAAACACCTTAAAAGTACCCTAAAAGTAGATATTGAGCTAAAGTAGAGTTTGGAATACAGCTTCACTTTGTGATTTGTTTTCATTAAAGGGATCATTCACCCTCCAAAAATGACAATTCTGTCATCATTTACTCACCCTTATGTCATTCCAAACCCTTTCTTTGTTCTGTGCAACACAAGTTTGACATTTTTTAAAGAATGTGCTGGCTGCACTTGTCCTTGCGATTAAAATTAATGTGGACTGGAACTTTTAAGGGGAAAAAACACCTTAAAAGTACCCTAAAAGTAGATATTGAGCTAAAGTAGAGTTTGGAATGATTCAGATTTTTTTAATGTTTTCAAATGAAGTTTCTTATGCTCACCAAGGCTGCATTTATTTGATCAAATATGCAGTGAAAAGAGTAATGAAACATTGTGAAATATTACTTCAATTTCAAACTGTTTTCTATCTGCTTCAAATTCAATTTCTATTAGTCATTATTGGTGCATTTTTGTGTGACCAACAGACAAAAAAGGTTTGAGGGTGAGTACAATATGATGCCAATTTAGCATTTTTGGCCAATCTGTCTGTAAATAAATATTTAAAATATTCTTGATCCCCCCTAGATGAGAGATGTGGTTTGCATGTAGTAGCTACAGTAGTATGATTATACTTCACGATTATTTGTGATGGCTAAGCAGTGATTGTATGTTCTGAATATTTCGGTTTGTAAACATCTTATTCAGAATTCTTATATGGAATCTGGTCCTTAAATTTGTTATTCTGCACAGCTCTTTGCTCGCTAATGTAGGAATACTCTTAAGTAGGCTATCAAAGGAGAGGATTGTGTAAACATTCAGATGAGAACTTTGCTTGAGTGCAAGTATGAATCATATTTGGCACATTATTGTGTATTCAGACAGGGCCTTGATGAATGGCTCTGGCAACAAGAGACATCAGTGAATTAGAGAGGAAGGATGCTCTGCTTCCAAATTTTCAAACACCTGGATTGAAGGCATGTTTAAAAGGGCAAAGATTGCACTTTTAAAGACGAGACTCTCATTTATAAAGAATGACTCATAGTTATGTCTGTCATACTTCTGATTTACTATTCGGAGAATAGTATATCAAATTGATGGGCATGTTCTGTAGTATCTATTTTGTCCAATTTATGTGTTCAAAATTAGCATTGTGAATGATGGAAGTAGGATAATGCAGCTCTGCACCAAGCCTATAGATGTGACAGAGGTCTGTCCTAACCTCCTCTTTTACTCTCTTAACAGGATCACTTGAAGAGTTAGGCTAGGCCTAGCTTAATTTCAGCAGTGCTGAATGCTCAGCTGTATAGGCTGCTCTAGGCGATGCTCTGCTTCCAAATTTTCAATCACCTGGATTGAAGGCATGTTTAAAAGGGCAAAGATTGCACTTTTAAAGACGAGACTCTCATTTATAAAGAATGACTCATAGTTATGTCTGTCATACTTCTGATTTACTATTCGGAGAATAGTATATCAAATTGATGGGCATGTTCTGTAGTATCTATTTTGTCCAATTTATGTGTTCAAAATTAGCATTGTGAATGATGGAAGTAGGATAATGCAGCTCTGCACCAAGCCTGAAGGAGATATAGATGTTACAGAGGTCTGTCCTAACCTCCTCTTTTACTCTCTTAACAGGATCACTTGAAGAGTTAGGCTAGGCCTAGCTTAATTTCAGCAGTGCTGAATGCTCAGCTGTATAGGCTGCTCTAGGGCGTCTGAAGTGTTGAGGCAAACATGAGATCGATGTATGGCTGGCAGCTCATTCCTGTCATAGGCGGTCTGATAGCACCAGAGCCTGTGCCTCCGTGTTTAAAGGGTCATTCATCAAGGCAGACGTTTTTATAACGCCTTTTTGTTATCGCCTCTCTCTTCTAACCTGATTTGCCTCACAAGTCTGCCTGCAAATGAAGTTGGCAGCATTTTGCATCAGCCCATCTCTATCCTTGCCGCCGAAAATAAGTCATTTTTCCTAATATGCGGTGAAGGAGGAGAAACTCAATATATTTACATTGAGTTGAATGGAGTGTTTGCTTACTGGCTTGTGACTGGCTGATATGAGCGAGAGCACATTAGGGGCAAATGCTGCGTTTCCCATAATGCACGTTTTACTGTGAATTTGAAGGTGGTTTTTACTGCAAATGAGATTTTAATGTTACTAGTGCCCAATAATTGAACTTTTTTAGCTTTTTAACTCTTTCAAATGGAGTATCAAGCTAATCAGCTAATAAATTAAAATACGCTCACGTGAAGATATGTGTCATAAAATGCTTCAGATCTGGACTTGTTCATCAGTAGACAATCTGACTGATTTAATTTAATATTTTAATTTAATTTAATAATTGTACGTTATTTTAATTACATTCAATTAAAGTATTAAATTAAATATTTTTAATTAAAAAAATAATAATTTAATAATTAAAAAGTTACAAACATAAAAATGTTTACAAATTTTAAAAATTTTTAAAAAGTGGCTGTAATACCATATAATTTTTTTATTTGATGCATATTTGTCAGTTATACGTAAATGAAACAAGAATGAGATTTATAAAGCAGTACTAATAAACTGAATGTTTTAAATAAACAGTAATCAGATTTATATATTTATCAACGATATCTATATTTTGTTTAAATCTCATACATTTGAACTGAATCGTGTTTTGTTTCACACTTTGTATGTTTAAACAATGTTCATACATTCAATTGTTTACGTTTAATTTATTTTCACAATTTATAGATTTATGCTGGTAAGCGATGTGAAAAATGACTTGTATGATTATTAAAATAGTCAAATAAATGCAAATACTTAATAATAAACAATGTCATATTTCTCACTTGATAGTATACATTTTTTTAGGGCATTATTGTATCTTGCACCTCTAATTTTACATGACACATAAAGTAGAACAAACGAATAGAGTTGAGACAGAAGGAATGAAGATAGATGAGATATGATGGACAGGGAGTGAGTGATGCAGATCTGATCATGTTGGGAAAAGCTGATGATGGCCACCTGTGTGTGTATGTCAGCACAATCACATCATTAATCTCAGCCTGACAGATGTGTGATCCTACATCTGTGCTCACGTTACAGAGAGAAGAAACAACGAGAAGTTAATGGTACGTATAAATATGGAGAAGGTTACAGTGGCCCCATAAAGTATTTGGACACTTAAGTAACACTCAATGTGTGAGTGTCATTGCATTAGATAACAAAATAACAAAGTGATGAAGAGTAGAAGTGTAGCTGAATTGTTTGTTAGTGTGAGGTAGGAAGAGGTCTGACAAGCGTCTCTGCTGTCTTTGTGTCCACACACACACACACGCACACACACACACACACACACACACACCTCGTTTTATTCTTCACTGTCTTCTCATCACTTCTCTAAAGTATTAATAGTATCAAAAACAAGATCAGAAGACGAGAGCGAGGCTCCAGTGAGGACATTTTTGGAGGGTGGATGAGGAATCCGGTACAGAACAAATGAAGAATAAGTTTAGCTCACTGCCAGGAGACAGAAGTTTAAGGCTTTTTGTGTAGCGATTCTCTCTGGATGTCTCAAAATATATCATTAAGAAGCCCTCAAACAGTTTTAGGAGCACATTCTGTCAGGCAAACAGAGAGTTTGGCTATAACTGACTCAGTT